TGATGAATTGTAGTTTTTATGGTAATGTGATGTGTACATCGTTAGCATGAAGAGCGTTTATATCTACAGAAAACAGGCTCCTCTCTGAGAGAGAGTCATGCATTAGTTCAGTCATATTATAAAAATATATATATATATATATATAAATGTATAGATATATTATTTGATGTGTTGGGTCCTCTCTGTTGAATGGTGATGCTGTTGTGATGTTTATGAATCGCTGGAATTTAATGTGACCAAAATGTAACTCTGCTCCTGAAGTGAGTGTTCTGGAATAGTGAGTGTTCTGGAATAATGAGTGTTCTGGAATAGTGAGTGTTCTGGAATAGTGAGTGTTCTGGAATAATGAGTGTTCTGGAATAATGAGTGTTCTGGAATAGTGAGTGTTCTGGACGGAGAAGGAGATTGCGGCTGGTTGGCTGTAAAGGGCTTCGGAATGGCAGAATGGCAGACTTCCTATACAAGCCCCGCCTCCAGAGCCAGATTCCAACGTTATTTCTCGCTCTGCTTCCATAACTTCCCCCCCCCCTCCCTGTGACACACCACAGCACAGTGTGACTCTGGGTCAGGGGTCAGGGGTCAAGTCTTGTATTACCACAGCACAGTGTGACTCTGGGTCAGGGGTCAGGGGTCAAGTCTTGTAGAGGTTCAGCACTATGTTGCCTCCACTGCACAATAGAGAGAGTTAGAGCTTAGGGTTCGCTCGGAGCGGTTGCGTCCTGATGGAACTGAGCTGCTCTGTTCAAACCTGCAAAGCTGAAGTGTTACAGATTGAAGCGTGACAGAGAAACGTATAAAGATCGTTTTTTTTTCCCCCGATTGAGCCCGACGACGCATGCAGCGTTTAAAGCGTGAACGCAGTCTCTCCCCGCTGACGCTGAACTTCCACGATAAGGATTTGAACAGAGCCCTCACTTTAGGCTGAGGGGAGGCAGCGTGATGGTGATGGTGCCACCTCTCTCACTCTCTCTTCCCTCACTAATCTCTCCCTTTATTTCCAGCCCTCACGTTGCCATGACAATCTCCGACATCGTCGGGCTAATAATCACCATGGTTACCGTACAATGCGTTACCCATGCCGATGGGTTCCAGAGAAGATTATGACAGGACTGTGGGTGAACGTGGATTTAATATAACCAATTACAGCAACGTTATGGTGACGTTCCCAACTTCATCCATCCATCCATCCATCCATCCATCCATCCATCATCCATCCATCCATCCATCCTTCCATCCATCCATCCATCCATCCATCCATCATCCATCCATCCATCCATCCATCCATCCTTCCATCCATCCATCCATCATCCATCCATCCATCCATCCATCCATCCATCCATCCATCCATCCTTCCATCCATCCATCCATCCATCATCCATCCATCCATCCATCCATCCATCCATCCATCCATCCATCCATCCATCCTTCCATCCATCCATCCATCCATCCATCCTTCCATCCATCCATCCATCCATCCTTCCATCCATCCATCCATCCATCCAGACAGAACTCACTATAGCCTCTCTTTATGTCCTAAGAGCTGAGAGAATCGTTGGAATATTCAAGTTATGAACATTAAAGATTATATGTGCATATTTGCAAGAACAAAAATACATTTTTAATGGTGATTTTATGATGTGGGCCGTTCTGAAGGCTTTTTGAAATGAAGTGACTGCAGGTGTTTAAAGTTGTAGATAATGACTTCTTTTATCTTCTCTTACTGTTCTGAATAATAATTTAAATGTAAATTATCTTGCTTAGGGTTGTTTTTATTTTAATGAGAGCTTTATCTGGGCCTGTCTTTGTGTCCAGGTGATCTGGGCCTGTCTTTGTGTCCAGGTGATCTGGGCCTGTCTTTGTGTCCAGGTCATCTGGGCCTGTCTTTGTGTCCAGGTGATCTGGGCCTGTCTTTGTGTCCAGGTCATCTGGGCCTGTCTTTGTGTCCAGGTGATCTGGGCCTGTCTTTGTGTCCAGGTGATCTGGGCCTGTCTTTATGTCCAGGTCATCTGGGCCTGTCTTTATGTACAGGTGATCTGGGTGTGGTCAGTCATCAGGTGATCTGGGTGTGGTCAGTCATCAGGTGATCAGGGTGTGGTCGGTCACAGGTGATCAGGGTGTGGTCGGTGTCACAGGTGATCTGGGTGTGGGTCGTCATCAGGTGATCAGGGTGTGGTGTGGTCATCAGGTGATCTGGGTGTGGTCGGTCGTCAGGTGATCTGGGTGTAGTCATCAGGTGATCTGGGTGTGGTTGGTCATCAGGTGATCTGGGTGTGGTCAGTCATCAGATGATCAGGGTGTGGTCGGTGTCATCAGGTGATCTGGGTGTGTGTCATCAGGTGATCTGGGTGTGGTCGGTCATCAGGTGATCTGGGTGTGGTGGTTCATCAGGTGATCTGGGTGTGTGTCGGTCATCAGGTGATCTGGGTGTTGGTCATCAGGTGATCTGGGTGTGGTCGGTCATAGGTGATCTGGGTGTGGTCAGTCATCAGGTGATCTGGGTGTGGTCGGTCATCAGGTGATCTGGGTGTGGTCGGTCGGTCATCAGGTGATCTGGGTGTGGTCGGTCATCAGGTGATCTGGGTGTGGTCGGTCATCAGGTGATCTGGGTGTGGTCGGTCATCAGGTGATCTGGGTGTGGTCGGTCATCAGGTGATCTGGGTGTGGTCGGTCATCAGGTGATCTGGGTGTGGGTCGGTCATCAGGTGATCTGGGTGTGGTCGGTCATCAGGTGATCTGGGTGTGGTCGGTCATCAGGTGATCTGGGTGTGGTCAGTCGGTCATCAGGTGATCTGGGTGTGGTCGGTCATCAGGTGATCTGGGTGTAGTCATCAGGTGATCTGGGTGTGGTCGGTCATCAGGTGATCTGGGTGTGGTCGGTCACCAGGTGATCTGGGTGTGGTCGGTCAGTCATCGTTTTAGTTCTCCTGTATCTGCTTCTGACATCACACCTTGTAATGTTCGATTTACCTGATCTCATTGGATGGCATCGATGTCTGCGGATGCGTTGTCTTCTAACCAAAGATACGAGATGCAATCGCAACTGACTGTAGCTCATATAAATCACACAACAGCTACCGGTGGTTCCACGATGACTGAAAACACAACCGTGGGACGAACGACTGACACATTTCCCGGGCCAAGGGGGCGGTCCATTTAAAATGAATTCATTCTTTCCTTGTCCTTTGCCCTGCAAGTGTCAACTCATGATTCGCCGTCATCAGAAGTGTCCACTTTCATTGGAGGGCTGAGTGGAGAGGGGCGTGTCTTTTACGTCTTTGGAATGCCAGCCACGGTTTTTTTGAAAAACGCACGTGATCAAAAACGAAGCTTCGGACGTCATCGATGACATCCTTCTGATAAAGTGATACGCGCCTCGGCACACTGCTCTCGAAGTTATCTGCTTAACCTTCGATTTTCGACGCAGGCCTTGGAGCTCCGGTATCAAACGTAACATCACCAGTAACCACCAGTCATGGATACCAAAAATGTTTGGTTAAATCACATTATCTAGTCATCACACTGTCTAGCTACATTTGATGATCTAGTGTTCCACTGTCTAGCTACATTTGATGATCTAGTGTTCCACTGTCTAGCTACATTTGATGATCTAGTGTTCCACTGTCTAGCTACATTTGATGATCTAGTGTTCCACTGTCTAGCTACATTTGATGACTAGGTCACTGTTAGCTACATTGATGATCTAGGTTCACTCTCTAGACATTTTGACTAGTGTTCCTCTATACTAGACTAGTCCACCTGCTACATTTGATGTTGTTTCCACTTAGTCTTATGTCTAGTCATTTGATGACTAGTGTTCCAACACATTGTTTTTTCTATATCAAATGTGCCTTGCTTTGTGGTGGTCTGGCTTGACTCTCCTCACCTCTTGACTCTCTGTTTGCACTGTCTAGCTACTTTATATCTAGGTTATGCTAGCTAGTTGATGATCTAGTGTTCATGTCTGTAGATATTGATCTGTACGTCAGCCGATATATGCCACCTCTGACATTAACTAGGTGTTCCCTGCTTACGGGTTTGTGATCTAGTCATGTTAGATTTATGATTAGGGACCATTTTACATCTGTGAGGGGGCAAACCTAGGATCTACCCAACCTGTTCTAGTTCATGTCATGGCTAATTGTGATGACTGGCCACTCTCCTACATTGAATTGTTCGCCTGTTTAAAAATAAAATTAGGGTTATTCTTATAATCGATCATTTTGGTATCATCAACATGATTGTTCTATACATTGGAATGTTTGTCATGGTCTGCTACCTCTCTAACTCCGTTTACTACGGTTAACCAAATCACGCCCTGTTATCTGTGGTTTTGAGGGGATATCGTATGGTGATAGCGTATATGAACTTACTCTGTTACATAAAGTTGTTGTACTTGTCGGGGGGTGAAAGTTAAGATAATTGTTAAGGTACCAAAGTTCAAAAGTTAACACTCATTTAAGGGTTTTTCTTAATTATTCTATTTTCTACATTGTAGAATAATAGTGAAGACATCAAAACTATGAAATAACACATATGGAATCATGTAGTAACCAAAGAAAGTGTTCAACAAATCAAAATATATTTTATATTTGAGATTCTTCAAAGTAGCCACACTTTTGCCTTGATGACAGCTTTGCAAACTCTTGGCATTCTCTCAACCAGCTTCACCTGGAATTATTTTTTCAACAGTCTTGAAGGAGCTCCCACATATGCTGAGCACTTGTTGGCTGCTTTTCTTTCAATCTGCGGTCCGACTCATCCCAAACCATCTCAATTTGGTTGAGGTCGGGGGATTGTGGAGGCCAGGTCATCTGATGCAGCCCTCCGTCACTCTCCTTCTTGGTAAAATAGCCCTTACACAGCCTGGAGGTGTGTTGGGTCATTGTCCTGTTGAAAAACAAAAGATAGTCCCACTAAGCCCAAACCAGATGGGATGGCATATCGCTGCAGAATGCTGTGGTAGCCATGCTGGTTAATTGTGCCTTGAATTCTAAATAAAT